ATGTATCCTCACATTGCTACAGTGTTATCAGTCTTTTTAGAAACATCTGACCTAGCTAATTAAAATATGCCAATCACAATTTTCACTATCAGCACTGGTTTCTTCATGAAAAAAAGCGGCTACACTAATTACTGCCGAGTAAGAGCCGATTTGCAGTTATATAATTTTATCGGTGGTTTTGTATTTGGTACCTTATAGTAAGCCGTAGAGTGTTGAATTATTTTCTCCAGGGTTGTAGTAGGGGTCCAGGGGAAGATAGGGGTGGAGTGTCCAAACACTGATACTGCCACCTGTGATCTTTTTCAGTATAGTAAGTTTATAACAATTAACAAAAGAATATGTCACTGAAACAACGAAGTTCTTTGAAATAATCAGACAATGTTCAGTACGAACAAATATTATTCATTTATTCATGCGAAATGTTTTTTTTGTATTGGTCGGATTTAAAAAATCACAATACATTTGTTAATATAGTTAAACAATAGATCTTTAGCATGTAACATGACAGGCGTTAAACTGGAATAACAGACAAACAGTTTTGATCAGTTCAAGTATCATGAAATAAAATACAACCGAAAAGGATATTTATATATAAAGTGTACTCAGATAACACCACTCACCCACATAAAATTCTTTTCGTTATGATCAATAAAGGAAAACCACGATGTATTGCAATTTTGAAGGAAACCTCGAATGATTTTCCGATTCGAAACTTATGATTATTATCACCATAATCTAATTATAGGTAATGATTGGGAATCCATTACCGGTTTATTTTTTATTAATCACTGTGTTTTGCTGCGAAGGTAAATAAATATAAACAAAGCACGAATCCATTGACGGGAAAGGTTGGGTCATTTTAAAATATAATTATACCAAATAAGATAGTTTTAAACTTTATATGAAAGTCAAAAACCGTAACATATATAAATATAACAGTAACTTACAGAGTTTAGACATTGTAAAAGTGTTTATATAATAAATGTGAGTTAAACACCAACAATGTCAGAAGATATATAGAAGTAGCCAGCGTGTTTTGGTTTTTGTACACATATTTTCAAATAAAGATAACGTGATATTAACAGAAAATGATGAAAAATATTGGAATTACCCAAACTCGAGTTTTTCCATGTTAAAACATGGCCTTGCACATACTTTTAAAGAAAAATTCTTGTTTTGAGGTTCGTTAACCCATTACTTCATGAATGGCTGTTTTTATTGAAAAGTTCAAATTGCTATGAAACTATAAAAAGGCTTCAATACTGTTCAAACTTGGCACAAATGTTGACTTTCTTTGTAATGGCATACTCAATCTTAAATTTCCTGTTACCATGACAACGACGGGGCATCTCAAAATTGTCAAAAATCACTATTTTGCGTTGATTTTTCCATCAAAACTGATATATCAAAATGATACAACTTCTCAATAGATTGAGATAGAGTCAAAGGCTTTTCAGACTTGGTTGTACAAGTTACCTTAAGGTCGACCTGAGGCCATATTAAGCCTCTTACAAATCCAAAATGTTCTTGGAGATGTAATTCACCCCAAGCAGAATGGGGCACATCCCCCTCTGACACCCCTTGATGTAGCTTTTTGATAGGGGATGGCGAAAGTGATCATTTTTAACACCATTTCTCAATTTGGGGATAAATATGACATTTTTCACCTTTTTGGGCCTCAAAGGAGGTGAAAAGGTCTATATGAGGTAATGGGATAAATCAAATCCTGTCCAAAAAATAACGAGATGCATTTTTCATGCAGAAAAAAAACAAACAAAATAACTGGTTAATTCAAAGGTCCGTGTGAACATTCATATATGTTTATAACCTATTTCGGCAGGTCACGTGTGATATTTAGAAATTGGTGAAATAAATCAAGAACCAGTAAATTCTTCCAATACAAGGTCTTTCTTAATGCGATGTTCCAATTAGACAAATTCTGTTTTAAGATAAATTCCTTTCTCTTTTCTCAATAAATATGTCAGACTCGTTTTAAGAATCTCTGTGTTTCAGTTATATAGTCTTATAATTATCTATATATCAAACTACCTTTTGAAATCCTATAGTAATCCAATGTGTTTGTTCTCTGTTACTGCTGTTTTTGGGAGACAGCACTGAAAATAATTGTAATTTATCAGTTTATTTGTTTTTCATCATTGCGCTTAGAAATGGCATCATGATCATATTGTGACTATAAATAATAGTAGTAGACTGAAGTCATTTTCTTAACAAAAAGTAATGCTTAATGAATGGCAAAAAGGCATTTGATGTTTTCTTTAACAGTCCGTCTGCATATTGGGCACACCGAAAGAACAGGTCCACACCGAGGACACGATCGACAGATATAAGCTTATCCATCCATACATATTATGGTCGCACTACTTTTCTTTAAGTTGACTATTTTCAGGTTAAAGCTGTACATGTATCAACTATTTTGCCAGATTTGTATTGGAATAAACAATATTTTTTTTATGATATATGAACGGAAAGTTTTAATTAACAATACGATTAAAGGGACACTACTGAGGTTTAAAAGCCTATAAACATAACATTTGAATTTCTTACATACATGAGCTGGGGTACTTTAAACAGAAATATATGCAAAGATAGTTAAGAAATATACTTTGAAATAAATTGAAAATCGTATTTTTATGTTTTTCGTAACCCGTTTTGAGTGAAAAGCGTTTAAACGTCTATCATTTGTGTCTTTTTTTACAATTTGAATAATTATTCCGGAAAAAACGAAGTGCTCGAATGATCTGAATTTTTGCACAAAGATTAGTGGTCTAAATCTACTTTATATGGTCCATTTATCTGGAAAATATATTTTCAGTCCCATCATGTCAAAAAACTTCATTAAGAATAAAGAATGTAAGCAAAAAAAGATGAAGCAAAGTCTCATATACTCATCTGCATTGTAGACACTATTACCTATATTAATTGAATTTAGAATTAAATATATCCTCGATTGATGTATATTCGCGGTATTAGGCACATTTGTGAGAAATAATATGGAAAAAAGATATATAATAAATTATACACATAATGTTTGCTTACAATTGGCCTTTTTCAATTTCAAGTCAGTTCAAGTTTCACCAACTTACACTCGTATTTGTCAGTGGTAACTTTAAATAATAAGCGTCTGTCATGACGGCCGCCATATTGGAACTGTATGTTAATTCGCGGACGACTACAATTACGTCATTGTAGGTCAAATCAGTTCACATGACAAAAATTCCAGCCACTTTAAACTGAGAAAATATCAATTTTTCAGAATAATGTTGATTTTTTATATCTATTTCTTATTTGCAGTTTTATTTTGTAAACATGTAAGAAGTAGTAAAAAAACTAAAACAGCCGATAAATTCGATTTTCATCTCCCCATATGACCCTCATTTCCGGCAAAAGATTTAAGTAGGTCAAGTGCTTGCACATTGTAATCTAAACATGTGATTACATCTTAAAGTTTGATGAAGACATAAAAGTTATTCTGTCAATTATATTTTGGTCAAATAGGCTTATATTTAGACCTAATTAATTTTTAAATGAAGGAACTGACACTTTTTGCGTTAGCTGAAATGGGTATCCAAAATCGGTCAATAAATATATTCATAGCCTCGGTTTGGGAAAAAAAGCATGGCCGACTGACCTTCACATCTTGAAGAAATTTCCGGAACTGGGAATTGTTTGTTAAACTTTTCTAAGTTAATAAAAATGGATTACTTATAAGGTAGATGTTTGGGCATAAGTAAAATCATGTTTTTTTTTTAGAAAAATAAACAATAAACTGCCCATTTTTATGTGATGTGTGATGGTTTGATACACGAAACATATGGAGACACATTTTGCGAGAAATATTACGTCATTGTCGGGCAGGTACGACGAGATTTTACGAGATTATCCAAGCGTAAACAAAATCCGCGAATTTATATACACCGCGATTTTACATACATCGACGATACATACATTCAATAAATATATAGTTCCAGGCAAAAATTGGATTGGTGTTATTATCATGACAAATGTGATTTTCATGTTTCTGACCAGATGTATATGTTTTGAAGAAGATACTAATCAAAAGTATCTAGTGCAATTTAAATCCGACAGTTGCCTCGAATTATAAAGTTTGTTAAATAATTTAATGATTTCACTGTTAGTTTAGACATGTTCTTTAAGCGAAACAAGTTTTGTAACTAATGTTAATACATTTATAGTCCGCGCTTCATGGAACTAAGCAGTGTTGGTGTCATATGAGGAAACATGGGCGCGACCCCAGGAGTCTTCCAACCCTTGCTATTACATTGTTTCTCCTTATGAACTGTTGTCTCTTTTTCAATCATTTTGCCCTAGAAAAATCATTTCATACAAGCCTGTGTAGCTGCACAACCAATACTTTTAAAACCCGAATGCGTCCAGTTCAATAAATCAAATGGTCAAGCACAATATATTATTACTTTCGTTCGTTCGTTTGTTCAGGACTGCGCTCGCTCATCTATTTGTTAATTATATATGTTAGTAAGTTCTAGTTTTAAAAGTATCTTTCTGTTCTTATCGTTATAATGATTTATTTCTAAAAACATTATTTGCAAATGTGTTTAATTTATATTTAATCTTAATAACTTCTTACCAGAATATTTAATTCATCATTACGTCCCTTGAAAATCATTTATACCTAAAGTTTACATAAACTTAAAAGTTTGATTGAATACCAGACTGATATCAGACATATAGCCTATTATGTTGACCTCATTCCATATTAAATATACGTATTGGTGAACATAAGCTGTTGAAGTGATTAAAGACCTTACACAATATGACATAAAAACACAGAAAATATACAAAAAGATAAATAATCATCACAGTCAAACACATCTTTATTGAGATCAATCCAAACAAAACATACCATGCAAACTCTCAAGTGTCCATGTTTCAAGTTTTGATACATAAAATGTATCACAGCCTTCTATGAAAAATCATCATTACTTGTGCCAGTCAAGTCAAACATTTTGAATGAAGCCTTATAAACTTCATCGTCTACAATGATAATATTATCGACAAAAGCAGCCCCGCTGTCTTTGTTTCCTTTCATCAAGCATAACTGATATCATATGCATCTTTCACTTCAAGTTGATAATGCTCTGCTGAATTGTACTGGGATGTTGCAAATTCAACGCCTCGAAGGAATTATAGAAATGTATAAACAAAGATTTTAACACAAGCTTAAATATTGTGACAGTAGGTCTTAATTTGCTCTTAGAGCATGAATCATTAAAGTTCAAGATTTAACCATAGAATGTTAACACTTTTTTATACAAATTCCTTGATCATTCTATACAATTGAAAGATCGAAGCTGGTGCTCTTGCTTTTACATCTCCGGAATCAATGTGATCATCGGCCATCTAAGCGTTATCATCAGAGGAAGGTCCCGGCGTATGGCTGCTAGAACTGTGGGCTTTCTCACCATCAAAAAACTACTTTGACAGTTGAGGTGATAGTTTGTCTGCATACTGGACAAACGGACAGAACAGATGCACAAAGAAAACATGAAATCAGGTGGCCACAAGGTATAAATACCATGATCATCTTTTCATCCATACAAATTTTGCACAAGTATTCTTCTCTCAGTTGATCATCTATTAATCGTTTTTCCTTGTCCTCAGTATCATCTGTTATACAAAATTTCATTATCTTATTAGAAATAAATAATTTTGTATAAGTGTAAAATGGTACGATTGTCAAACTTTAAGTACATTTGGATGAAACATTCATACAGATTGTGTTCTACAAAAACATTAATACTCAATTATGGTAACTTTTTCCTGTATCAAATGATGGTAAAAAGATATCGTACATTAACGTTAAACAACTGTGATATTATAATACTATCTAAAATTTAAGAATATTACAATATAAGAAAATCAAACCCTTAGCCTCTTGAGAACCACAATTTTGTTCAGAGATAGAATCTTCTTCGTCAGAACTATCCGAATTCAAATTAATTAATGTTTCACATAACTGTACTGTATTGTAATCGTCACTGTTACCTATAACAATTAATGCCTTATTACACGATAATATATACTGTTAGAAATATCAAATCACTAAGGAATTTAGCGTCATAAATCAACGGAAAAATATACATATGTTTCTTTACAACATTGTGTTAACCGATGTGAGATGATATTGCAATTGTATGCTTCAAACAGCATTTAAAGAAACAAAGCGATTTAACTATGTTTTAGCAATTAAATTCAATTGCTTGTAAAACGAAACACAGCAATTGACTTTAGTAGAATGTAAATCTGAGTGTTACATAAGACTTTTGAAAGGAATTGCTTTGACAACTCATACAATGGTACCTATGATTTCTTAGAAGTAACCAGAGGCTAAGACATTGCAGAAGACATTTTGTGTTTAATATATAGAGGATATTGAATGAGTGTAAGTTCAATACTGAATTTATTGCACGAGTTGAATAAAATTATATTATGCGAGCCTCTGGCGAGCATAATATTATTCTATTCAACGAGTGCAATAAATTCAGTAATGAACTTACACGAATTTAATATTCTATTTATCACATACCCAAAATAATGACCGTTTAAAGTGAAATAAGAGTCATTTTTCATTGACGCGTCTATAGTATAACGCTTACATTTAGCGCGTCTTTACACTATGTTTGTATAACGCTAATGACGTCACGTCAAAATATATGCACGGCCGTGCAATACAATATTTACGGAGTCGCAAAATCGGCACGGGTGTGTGATAAATTTAAACTGAGCAATACCGTGTTCTTCCTTATAAACTGCAACCGCTCTTTCTATATCTTTTCCAGAAAAGCCCATTTCCAAACAAGCATCTTTAGCTACAATGTCAGTTCCTCCACATGCACCAGCTGCTTCCTGCATTATTTTGATCAGGAAGATATCAATGAGCGAAACTATATTCATATTAATTAAATATACAGTTTCAACAAATAACATGTATAGACCACTTCACTAAAGTTTACAGCAGCATGCCTCCAGATTTCTGTCATTCTTTAGGAAAATTTAGAAAATGTATTTAAAAAGTAATTTTCACAATGCAACTGACACTAACAATCCACGTAAATAACCCAAACAGGGCTCAGAATATGCAAAAATAGTACTTATTTAGTTAGTCATGAAGTAGAATTATGGTGATAAATAGGCCTACTTCAAAATCAGTCATTAAAACGTGTATAACATGCATTTTTTTGAATCTTGAATCTTTTTTACTTTTCTTAAAATCTTGGTATATTTTTTTTGGAAATTTTTTGACTCATCTAACTACATGCAGCTTTAAGTTATAAGTCTAACGATTTGATAACTGCATTTGATTACCTAAAAATGAAATAAAACGAAAAGAACTGTACTTATTTTCTGTTTACATGAATTAATAATACTTGGCACATCACTCGCTCGCTCGCTCGCTCGCTCGCCACTCACTCACTCACTCACTCACTCACTCACTCACTCACTCACTCACTCACTCACTCACTCACTCACTCACTCACTCACTCACTCACTCACTCACTCACTCACTCACTCACTCACTCACTCACTCACTCACTCACTCACTCACTCACTCACTCACTCACTCACTCACTCACTCACTCACTCACTCACTCACTCACTCACTCACTCACTCACTCACTCACTCACTCACTCACTCACTCACTCACTCACTCACTCACTCACTCACTCACTCACTCACTCACTCACTCACTCACTCACTCACTCACTCACTCACTCACTCACTCACTCACTCACTCACTCACTCACTCACGCACGCACTCACTCACTCACTCACTCACTCAACCAATAACTCACTCAACCACTCACTCACTCAACCAATAACTCACTCAACCACTCACTCACTCACTCACTCACCAACTCACTCACTCACTCACTCACTCACTGACTCACTGACTGACTCACTGACTCATTGACTCACTCACTCACTCACTCACTCACTCACTCACTCACTCACTCACTCACTCACTCACTCACTCACTCACTCACTCACTCACTCACTCACTTACTCAATCAATCAATCAATCAACCACCCACTCACCCATCCACCCATCCAAACACACCCACCCATAGATACCTTGCCATTGCTGACGTCTCCGTTTTCATCACCCATTATTATTTTATCAATGTACTTTTGTCCTTTAGCTAGAAGGACGTGATAACATTTTGGAGACCATCTGACATGTTCTGCCATTGGAACGTCATCGGGCTCCCAGTTGTTCAAACAAACACCGCAAAAATAACATCTCACTGTATCACCATTTTCTGTAAAAATATCATTATTTGTTTGTATATTTTATATTACTAATGTGCCCGTTTGTAACGTCGCTAATCATTGGATAATCGTGACGTTCATTTAAGAAATATCATCGGCCTGAGAGGTGTATATCGGCTATTTAACACCGGTTTGGAGTTTTGATGCGTAGGAATTGACCACAAAGGCCGTAGGCCTGAGTGGTTAATTTTGTCGCATCAAAACGACAACACCGGTGTTAAATAGCCGATATACACCTCTCAGGCCGATGTTATTTCGATTCTAACACGATAAAATAAGGAAAATCACTAATGTTATTTTTCAAGCGGAAATAACTTCCGGTGCCGATTTTCGTATAACGCTGTTCGATTTTCGCACCCTACTGCTGCGAAGATACAGAAATTATTAAACAAAATAAATAATAAGAAAAAAACGTTATTTTGTCAAGTTTTCAACAATAAAAACTTACGTCGTATTGTGTTTACATCAGTGTCCCATTTATCATTCTTGTATGTATGAAATAACGTCAGCTTGTTTATGAATGAGTTGTTTACTTAGGATGACGTCATTACGCTGCTTACGGATTGGCGCCGTTTTGTCAAAATATTTATTAACTGATATGGATCTAATATGTGGCGTTAGTGTATGTGAGATGTTATTTCGGTGTTGTATGAAAAGAAAACATTATACGAACTGAAAATATAAATAAAAGTGATTTTTATTGTTGCTTTAAAATGCTTTGTAAACTATACAATCGAGGATGAAAACATAACAGCGCATAAACAAGTAGTCCCTAACCGGTGTTTATTGGCAGTTTAACACCAGTTTCTTTCCTTCTTTGTCTATAGTGACAAAATCACGTGAGTGTTAGAATAGTTTTTATATACACGGCTGCCGTAAACTTATGACAAAATTTCTTTTTTTTCTCTCTTAAAAAAGGGAAGTTTGCTGTATTATATATTCGTTATAAAGATTCTTCACGGGCTATATGACCGTATATAAACGGTTGTTTGCTCGGGATACATATACAAACAACTGTTTATATGGGGCCATATAAAAACAGGTCAACTAATATTATATTTTTACTTTACTCTCAAGCTTAGACTAGTGAGCATTTATTTGTCATTAATCTGTGACCACTATCTATTTATTTTAGTTTGTTTTACAAAAAGTCACTTTTAAGTAAGCCGAAATAGTATATACATGTATATGAACATGAACTGATTTGCAATAAGACTTCAACTGATCTCTGTTTTACATAATTCATGATTAAAAACTCGTTTCTTTTGTACTTACTCGTATAGAAAAATCCTGCTTCGACAAGATCATTTTTGTCAATTAAGATACTGTCTGACCAGTTCGCAAATGTTTCTAAACGCCTCGATTCAGCAACATAGATTCGGAACATTGGTTTTTCAACACTACTTCCAAGAGCAGCTGATTCTATATCGACCATCCTCCGACTACTATAACGAAGCTGCGAGCCCATGTTGAAGAAATTTCAACACGTTTGTGTAACCCTGTAAGAATTAAAAATTTTGCATGCCATAATGAAACTATACAATGTAAATTGATTTCTAGAATTTTCAAACTTCATTGTCCAGTGTTACTTTATGCAATGTATGATATTGGTAATATCAATACATTTTTCATCGCATTAAGGCTTTGAATTTTAGAATTAATGATAGCATTCAGTCTACTGTTGTGTTATATTGTACATGTTTTATAAATACGCGAACTCTAAATACTATTTTCTAGACGCATGTGCTAAAGCAATACGATAAAGTCAACTGTTTTGTTTTTACAAACACTTGCGCATACTAAATTCTGACTAATAAATACTCTGAGAACAACACATTAAATGATTTTAACACATTGTAATAATCACTGTTCTTAACACCATACTTCTTGAAATTTAAGAATATGAGTTACGAAATAGTTGTTACATAAATACATGTATACATTTTAATGCAAAAGCATAAAAAAGACAACATACAATAAAATAATCAGTAGATGACCACATGTAGCTTTGAAAGGTTTACGGACACTGAATCCTCTGTTACTATGCAGCCTAGCGTATTCATGAACAATGTGACTATTATTTTTTCATTCTGGAATAAAGAACCTTTTGATAATCATAAAACAATGATATGGATTTAGACATACATTAAATAATGAGTTGCATATTAACAAATGTCCGTCCGTCATCAAATCACAATTGTCAATGTTGACGGAAAATTAAAGGTTTTGTATTTATACACATAGAGAAAACTCAACTGCACAAAGGGCATGATTCTCTCAAATAATAACATGCGAATCGTGCGATAATTATCTAACACTACCATTTGAATCCAGAAAAATAGAGAAAAACAGAATCTCTTAACAGCGTCCAATACGACAAAATTGAAAATGTTGCAGGCTCGGTTTGATTGAGCCTGTTATGAACGGTACTGGAAATAGCAAGTTACCTTCCACGCCCCCCCTAGCACTGGCTGAAGAAAAATTCAACATTTAAACACGAAAATATTGACATTTTGCATTTGGAAACATTCGCAGATGTGTTCATACGGCGGTCATCATGGAACCTTCAATGTGACACCTTCGTGCCATGTCATGAAAAGCGACATATCGTCCCCAGTTAAAAGAAAATTGCAAATTCATCAGCTTTAGATGAAAGAAAACAACTTTCAACTCTAATTTGCTTGACTGATATTTTCAACCGTGAATTTATTGATATCCGTTTGATATTGCATGATCTCTGTTATTGAATGGTTTTATTGAAACAATTTCAAGAACTTGTGTTTATAATCTGACACCAGCAAATAATAAATATTTCCTTTTTATGCATATAGGGGGAGCATATAGTCGCCGGGTGGGTACGTCTCGAATTCGTATCCGGCCCATAACTTTGTTATTTGAAGTCGGATTTTACAACTATTTCACAGAAATGATCACCATATTGAGACGACGTGTCGCGCGCAACATTTGGGTCGCTACCTTGAAGGTCAAGGTCACAGCATGATCTTGCAGCAAAATCGTGTTCGCCCCATAACTTCGTTATTTGATATCGGATGTTACAACTATTTCGCAGAAATGATCACCATATTGAGACGACGTGTCGCGCGCAACATTTTGGTCGCTACCTTGAAGGTCAAGGTCACAGCATGACCTTGTTTTTAAAGAATGAACATAACTACCATGTTAAGACCACCTTTTTTGTATAATTTAATGATTACAGATTGTTTTATTTTTGCCTTACTTTTCCAAATAAAATCATAAAATAAGTCATCAAGTGTTTCAAAAAAGCAGTATTAGTTGTAGGTAGGCTTGTAAAATCAGTAAATAAAGGAAGCAATATTGACTTAACAACAGCGATTTTTTCTAGTTAAGTTTATACCCCTTTTCTTATGACTAATACTATTTTTTACATTTCTGCAGCTTTAAACTTAGTACGTGACATAAATCTGAAACCATTAGAGGCATTAAGATATAACTTTGTAGGTAGATTGATCTCATTAAATACAAGTGTAGTGCAAAAGAACCTTAACTCTGACTTGCCAAATTTGGAGTTATTGCCTTTTTTCATTTTTAAACTTTGAACTTTGCCTATGACATAACTCTGACACTACAATAGGTATACTTTCCTGTGTCCAAAACCTATTCGGGGAGCCGAACCCGATTCAACCGGTTCTTATTTAATAATGTTTAAATAATTGTTAAATATATTTAACATGTATTCAACAACTTCTACCTGTTATTTCATTTATTTGGAAAAGGTACACAAATGATAAATGTTAAGGGCAGCCGTATTTATATAGATTTAACGAAGTTACTTTCTATATCGCCTTGCGGGCATATGGCGTGATCTTTTATTGCACCTGAAAATTCCTTTGTTGCTTTTCTAATCGTAATGAAAAATAAAAGAATAATTGGCTATTTTTCCAGTTTGAGCTTACAGATATAACATTTAGAAGTGCCCTAAGCTTTAATAAATGGTTATAATGGTAAATATTAACTTGATTGAAAATGAATAAATTATTTAGATATTACAATTGATTTTTAAAAGCGACATTAAACGAATCCAGTTATACTACATATACGCAAGTCAACTCACGTTTAAACACAGTTATTACATTTATGTAAATGTTGTGTTGCGGCATAATAATTGTGATAGTAAAGAACAACAAATGGATTATGGTATATATAAACGTTATTAAATGCACGAATTCAACGTCTCAAATACGATATTAAATATGACGATTAAAGGGATATTCAGGCAAAATAATGACAAAAATATATAAATGATCTTATGTACTCAAATCAGGCTAAAATGACATTTCTTGAAGTTTCAGCATGAATTTCTGTTTGAATTCGATTTATTTTGAGTTTGAAACGTAAATATATCTATATATGTTGAACAAAATTTAGACGCCAATAGAATCACCAAATAGTTTTAAAACAAGTCAGGTGACCTGAACAAACCTTTTAAGTTACAATAACATATATTTTGAATATTGTATGATTGAAACAAGTCTTTGTCATTCATAAAATAATTTAAAATGTTCTTTAACGTTTCCAGAGTTCACTTTGACAAATATTGCGAAATCATAGCGCTCTAACCTGACCCACGCGGGTCAAGTTAGGAAACCACCATTTTATTTTTTAAATGGAAAAAAGTTTTGTTCCATTGACTGTCTAATATATTCATTTTGAGGGCATTTACAGAATAATGAATGAAAAATTCAAAACTAAGAAATGAAAATTTTGCCTTTGTCTCCCTTTAAATCGAATAGTCTATTGAAACTTTATCTGTAATCTTTCTGAATCGATATTCAATATATAGTGTTTTTGTTAACCTCAACAACTAATTCATCCTATTGGTACAACAGAAAAAATACCAATGTGAAAAATAAAATGAACCAACCTTATGTATTTTTCCATATATTAAAGAAAATGCACAGTGTAGGTTTAAAATAGAAACATAACCCGTACGAAAAAGATAGCAGGATTCCGCCTAATATAAGCAGGAAAACGCTTAAAATTTCCGTGTATATAAGATTTTCCTGCTAATTTAAGACGGACACGGAATTTTGTAAAAAATCCTGCTAAGCAATTTCATATTCCGCCTAAGGCTTAGGCGGAAAATATGGGATGAGCAATAATTAAGGCGGGTTTTAGGACTTAGAATTTTGTCAGTTATTTGTTAACAGGAATTATGTACTTAGACTTTTTTGTTAACCAGAAATTGAACTTAGAAATTTTTACTAGACAGATTTTCTGAATTAAGAGAAATTTCTGCAGAAGACAGGTAAATTATAAATCGAATAAGTGATCAACAATTATTTTGCTGCTTTTATTCATTGTTAATTTTCAAAACTAAAATATTGTTTGTACAAACATAAATATACATTATCATTAATTGATAAAAAAAACTCTAAAAAAGAGTCTAGTCTGTTAAGAAGGACTTTGCAAAGTTTTTTTTAAAAATATTTATTATGAATTTTGGATTCTTTTTCCATTTATTTTCTGGTATGTTTATATATATGTGAAAATAAAACGATGGGTTGGATTATCCCTGTTTACCATCATATCATGGACTTGTCCATAATTTGAAATCTAGCTAGGAAATATGGGTCAGCAGAAGCTGAGACAGTGGAAATAAAGCAAATAACAAAGGATTTTATTGATAGTTAAAAATTGTGGTGATAATATATAAGCAATTTTTGAGATAATATTTTATTTAAAGTGTAAGGATTGAATATTTTTAAATTTTTCAAAGAAAAAAAAATAAGACTAATAGCCTTTTGAATGAAAATGACAATAATCTTGATATGCTCAGTTGTAAAGGAATTTTGAATGCTACATTATGACCTTGGACAAGAAGATAAATACCAATATCATAAAAATTCAGGTAAGTAACTTTTGGATACATTTAAACAATAAAAATATATTTCAAATGTATTAAATAATTTTGCATTAAGTTTGAGAGTAAATTTGTAACACTAAGGTTGGTTGTAATGAATTTTAGTTTAAATGCATGTATAATTATAACTGCATACAATGACAAGAAACAATAATATAAGATATTAGTGGTGGAAGTGTTTTACTGATGACTGTTTGTGTTTCAGGATAGTCTCAAACTGGTGTAAAAAGAATGGGAGGGAGGAGACAAGGATATTAACGATACCGCATAACTCAAAGCAGATCAGTTATGCTTGGAATAAAAATGAAAACAGCTGGCTGAACAGAAAACATTTACAGTGAAATAAAATGAAATAATTTGCCATGGATTAAAACAATACAATAGCAGTGCAATAAAAATATATCTCGTGTTTCTGTTTTTTTTTGTGTGACTCTTTTACGTACTGTACATGCAACCTAATGTAAAAAGCTATGGTAAAGCTCACAAAGATAACTTAAAAGCTTGGTAATTGTGACCGCCTTTTGTCTGTCTGTACATTTTGGATTCCAATTATTCTTATGCAGCTAAATAATAATGTTGTATCCATCCATAATTCAGCTTTATTAGTGTACCATCACAAAATTGAATAACTTCATTTCCTTAGGCGGATTTTTTGCTAGTATTCCTTAGAAAGAATTTTCTCCTGCTAGTGATTTTTATAAGTAGGTATTTTTTTCCTGGTTAAAATATTTTAGGCGGAATTTTTTCCGGCTAAGAATTTTCCTAAGGCGGAATTTTCTCCTGCTAGTGCTTTCCTTAAGCTGATTTTTTTCCTGGTTAAATTTTCCTTGGCGGATTTTTTTCCCTCTACCCTAACTGTTTTCCTCCTAAGAAAATTTGCATATTTCGCAGCGTATTCCTGCTTATAGGAGGAATCTGTGATATGTAAACCTGAAATGCCTTAGACGGATTACGCCTAGTAGCTAGGAGGAATTTCTGCTTTTTTCAAGGCGGAAGTTTTCGTACGGGATAAACTCCCATGTTTTAAAAATAGAAACAAATCATTCAAGTTAAACTTATATATAGTTATATATTAAAATTAGATTATTGGGAAACCACAAAATGAGAAAGAGTAGAAAAAATCGTATGACTGTATAAAATATAAACCATTATGGTGGCTGATTTGGTACACTGCGCAGGGTTTACTTAACCTGGCAACAATCGGATCATCTCGGCTATTATTGATAAAAGTTCTTATCTGAAGTATGACGGAAAGTGTCGAGAAAATACGATTGAACCTAGCTACTTAAAAGAACGAAAAATATCGTATAGTTTCAAACAGGCAAAAGATTTCCAATAATAATGTATTCAGCAACGGAAAATTCAGATAGGTTTCCCACTTAAAGCGGTTTCCCAAACTAGGATAACGAATTGAATGCGTGAAGGAATAATTTTAAGGTGAGTGTTGCAGATTATTATTCATTCACTTCGTTTATAGAGTCGACCTATTAGCAGAGCATAGATGTATTTGGTTTAAAAATATTTTATTGCATATATTGTAATCATAAATTATTCATACATTTTAACAACCATACTAACATAATACACGCAATGGATTTTGACGGAAGCACTAGGTGCTTATTGAGTTCAATCTCCATAATTGATAAATTGCAATAAAACTAATACATGGCTGGTAGATGAGCAAGTAAAGAACATATAACAAATGTGTACCACAACCTCTTCTATTGATTGTATACAAAATATTTTTAAAAAAATTAACAAAACTAGGTTATGTGGTAAGGCACTTGCAATATTATAATAATTGATAGATTTTAGTATAATATATTAATAGAAAAAAATAAGAAAGAGAAAAAGAAGAAAGAAGATTAAGATGAAAACCAACGTTTAAGATGAAGAGGCAAATAATTTTTTTGGACAAAGACAGTATAAAAACAATTATTATTTTTTAAAAGTGTTTACCATTCTTATTGTTAAGTCGTAGACATTACTTTGCAACATTTAATCGTCATGCAAACCTCCCACTATCCATTATGTATTTTTGGACGGCCAGAAATAACTCCGTATTGTCTGATTGAGAAAGAGAAACATCCCGAAACAGAAAAGTATGAAGAGAGACATTTTGAGTGATTTGACGCACTTTTATAAGAAGGCATGTATGGTTGCTACAATCCATGCGAAGCCTAGCATGTAAGATCTGTGCAATTCGTGATCCGCTGTGAAAAATAAGCGGGGTACTAATCAAACGACTGGCCATAACTTTATTTTTCAAAAACTTTAAAGTAGGTGAAAAATTTTTACATCTGTTTTTAGGGTATTCCAAAACACGAACTGTCACGGGTAAGAAAAAGAATTTTTAAAAAATGGTTAGTTCGGAATGTAAAAGATCTCCACTTGTTTGGGGTTCGAAGGTTGTCAAAGCGTTTTGAATAAATTTGGGGGGAACGAGATTTGTTAGACTTCTGGCGCAAAAAACCATTTTATCTTTTCTTTATTAAAAAAAAATTATAAGCCTTTGAACGCGTGGGTCTCTCTTCGGGGGAAAAGGGCCCCAATTCCCACTTCCTTTTTTTTGGAGGCCCCCAGTTTCTCCCATATAAAAATGAAGCACATTCTTTTTGGTTTCTTGTAAAAGCATATTTCCTTTTAAAAGCCATAGAACCCCCAATTTTTCCGATTATAACAACAGCCTGTTCTAGAAATGGTCGGATGAAAGAGGTGTATATTACTTCAAGAGATTTTCTATCAAGAGTTAATTTCAGTCAGCGCATGATGTGAACCCGTTTCCATGCTTTATTTACTATATAGTTAATATGTTCATGCCAAGAGCAGTCATTTCAAAGAATGATACCCAGATAATTGTGGTGGTCTACTTCCGATATAATTTGGTCATGCATATTTAGAGAGGGTGGTTTTGCTGATGCATTGTTCTACTTCAAACCACTTGCCCCTCACCGCTGTGGGTTCGAATCCCGACAGGGACTTTAGATTCTTTCAAGTGAGGAAGCTATCCAGCTAGCTTACGGAACGTTGGTGGTTCTACCCAGGTACCCGTTCGTGCCTGAAATAATGCACGGAAGGGCACCTGAGGTCTTCCTCCACCAGTAAAGCTTGAACGTCGCGATATGACCTATACTGTGTCGATGTGACGTAAAAACCCAAAACAAACAAAGAAACAAACAAATTTTTCTACTAAGCAATAGGCATTCGGACTTTGCAGGATTAAAGTTATCTAACCACGTTTCGGCCCATTCTGTTATTTTCAGGATATCAGATTGGAGGAGTTCTGCAGTAGCATTTGGGTTTTCAACAATAATATATAAACTGGTATCGTCAGCAAAAAGCCGGATATGACTTCCAATGTCGACTACAATATCATTTATAAAAATAAGAAATAATAGGGGTCCTAATATTGAGCCCTGGGGAACTCTAGCATTTACTGCATCCCATGTAGATTGAGTACCAGGTAGCACAACGCGTTGACGTCTTCCGGAGAGATAATTAGAAAACCAGTCTAATAATTTACCCGAAATACCAGCATTTTCCAGTTTGACCAACAGGCCTTTGTGCCGACCTTATCGAATGCCTTACTTATGTCAAAGAAAACCGTTCTTACTTCTAAACCATTATCGAGCGCTTTACAAAATGTATCGTACAAAACTGTTAACTGATTAACTGTGGAGTCACCTGGTCTAAATACAGACTGAAAAGGGGACAAAAAGCGGATAGCGTTTAAATGAATATAGATGTGTTTGAAGACAACTCTTTTGAAAACCTTTTCAATGCAACTGAGTAATGAAATAGGTCTATAGCTGACAGGGAGACAAGTGTCACTCTTGTTGTAAATAGCACATACATTTGCGTCTTTCCAAGTTTCAGGGACTATACATGAACGAAGAGAGTGATTAAAGAGAGAACATAGAGGGATTGATAATTCAGCTGATGATTCTTTGAGAATACGGTTGTTTATTCCATCTGGGCCTGATGCTTTTCCTGTAAAGAGATGTTTTAATGCGTCTTCTATTTCTTGTGGACTAAGAACCAGAGATGTTAGGAGATTTGTGTCAGTTGGAGGAGTTGCTTGTGGGACTTGCTTACCACTTTCATTCAGGAAAGTTTGGCTGCAAAAGTAGTTATTCAGCAGTTCAGCTTTTTCGAAGGAATCGTGTATAAGATTGTCAGTATATGGGCTTTTTAAAGGAGGTATAGTTTTGTCCGTATTTGGTGAAATAAACTACTTAAGGGTAGACCACCAAGACTTAGGTGAGAGAGGTTTGGATTTAAGTTTATTTGCCATTTGTTCATAGTAATCAAGGTTAGAGCGTCGTATTAATGTGACGGTGTCATTACGAAGTCTCCTAAATTTTGCCCAAGAAGTTTCGCTGTTAGTTCGTTTGGCCTTGCTGTATGCACAATTACGTTTTCTTATAGCTTTACGGAATGATGTATACATCCATGGTACATCGTTAGGGCGTATTCTGACATTTTTATTAGGGATACATTTGCTGCTGATTTCTAAAATATTTTCTTCTACTTTGGTTGTATGAATATTGATGTTCTCATGGTAACAAGAGTGCCAGTCGAATTGCTTGTTTCAGAGTGTGAGAGTCACAACGGTCATACATAATATATACATACATATGTGTCTTGAAAAGCAAGTTTGGCTTGTGGAATTTCAACAGAGCAAAGACTGGACAGTGAAACCGAACAGAATGGTCAAGAAAATGGTCACCGACACCAGAAAATAAAACATATTCAGCTTTAGATACAAATATAAGCTCTAGAGTTGAGTTTGAGTTTTCGGTAAAATGTGTCGGTTCATTAATAAGTTGGACAAGATCGTTCTTTCGACAGAGTGAAGCTATATTTAAAGATGCATTACGATTTTGGGTATTGTATTTAAAATATCCCGTGATGAATATATCGGAAAACCCAGTATCGACAGCCAGTGAAAAAGAATCGTCTATTAAGCTATTATAAACTGAATCAGCGTTAGGTGGCATGTAAAAGTTGCCAAAAAGTATCTTTTTGTTGTTACGCAATGTAACATCGACCCATAAGCATTCTAGGTTATTTGGTTCAAGATCAGCTCTATGCTTGAAGTGAAGATTGTTTTTAACATATATAATAACACCTCTATGACTGTCTCCGTGTCTGTCTTTGCGGAGAGGCACATGAAATGTAGGAATTTTCAGATTTTCATCGAAGGCAGAATCGCTTAACCAAGATTCCATAAAAGCTAGAATATCAAAGTCCAACAACTCAACAGACAATAAATCTATCTTGTTTTGAATACTTTCAACATTATAATGTACAAAAGATAGGTGATTGTGAAAAATAGTAGGATCGTTAAAAGAAGACGATACTGAGGACAAAGATGATCTAGCTGTACTGGGTCCAGGGTTCTTATGTACATCGCCACAATTTGTAATAAATGTATGTGCCATAATACTAAAACACTGACAAAAGGAATCCGAATACAACCGTTAGTAAATAATAGGTTTGAGTTAAGACGAGACAAGTTCGGATATAACTTTCTTGTTTGCTGTATGACATTATGTCTAGCACGAGTTTCAGATAATATTTCATAATGTAACGAAAATAAGAGAAGCAGGTTGCAGAATACTAACATGTTAATGAGGAAGTGAAAAGTCAGTGGGATGTTTGATGGAGATCTATAAGTATACATGGTACTTTGTTTTGAATAATTATCGCTTTTCGGAGTAAAGCCAAAAGAATACTGGAAGCTATCATTTACAATAAGGCTTGCGTATTACAAAACATCATAACAATATATCATGCATCGATAATTTTAAGTCGTTTTTACACCATAATTCAATTGTTTATATTTAAGGTTACACCATCATTAACACATTTTACCTCACTTGCAAACAATATAGATATATAAAGTAACACCATCTATTAGATAGAACCATCTACATGTTTTATACATGTATGTTAAGTAATACTATAAAACAATCTTCAATGAACTTGGTTACTTAGTTGTTTCGCAGAGTCGTTGGTATTACATCGAACATGTTTCTTATTTCACGCAACTTGTCACACATTATTGTATATTGTACAACAGCTTTGAACTTTTAAAGCGATCAGTGTAATATCACAATATAATCTTAAATAAGGTTAGTGTCTTCATCGCCACTGAGTACGCTGTATATGTATTGTTTCCAAGTTGTGAAATTATGCAACAACTCTTAAGAACAAAGAAAAATGATATAAACGTTCGGTAGTTGAAGTATACTTATACTGCATAGAAAAGAAAAGTAACGCCTATGCTAATGCATAGAATTTTCACCACAGACAGATGAACTGTAATACGGCAGAAGGTCGAAATTTGCTAAATAAGTGATTTATTGTTCTCCATCTGATATTCATGCTCCAAGAATAGCACTGTCTTTAAGTAACACGGGCGTCAAATAGCAATTGTGAGCGAAATTTTGTCAGATCTTCATTAACAAATACCCCTGTACGACCAATATTCCTTAACTTGGCACGATTTGTATAAAGCTTTTGTCGAGACCTGAAAGTGCCAAACTTCACAATAATATCACGTGGTTTTTCATTTATTTTGCGTTTTCCTACCCGATGAGTACGATCAATCTCGGGTAGTGACAGGTCGCTTCATATTTCATGTTATATATCTAAAATGATTGCGTCTGTATTTTCGTCTGAGGACTCTGGAATCCCTGAAATACGCAGGGAATTTCTTCGACTATACTGTTCGGTTGCGGCCATCGACTCCAGAGATTTTAGGGCAAGATTTGTATTCTCTAGTTTCAGAATATTATTTTCGTGTTCCACTTTACTGATTTGGTTTTGCAATCCATGGATCACGCCACACACTATAGTTTCAATAGATGCATTTATAGTATCTTTAAGTTCAGTCAATATAGTGTCCTTAAGAGCAAGAGCTATAGAATTTATTGCTATATCATACAGAGTGATGTTGGTATTGTGCTTAGCCGACTCAGCCATACTTTCAGAGTTATTCTCTCACAAAGGTTTGTATGTGTAGAAATTAATGACTGGGATTGAATTTTTTTTTACTAATAATCAAGTCCTCTGGCGAAGAAAGGTCTCCTTTCTAAATAACAATGGATGTGTTACAATCTTCATCATACTACTGAACACGCCACGTAGTTGTTGTTGTGAAGTATACTTGTATATGTGTATATATATTTAACAAAGTGGTTGAGTACTGAACTCAGTTTATCGTAAGCTCTATCATTTCAAATGCAATGCAATGAAGACAAATATATACATAATCATCATTGTCGTATCTTGTATAAAGCAACCGATAAGAAAGAATAAAATTCTAGAAAACAAACATTATACAGTTCAATCGCTACACGGGTATTAATAGCAAGCCCGTTGGTTGGTCAAAAATTAAGCACCTATATAAGAAAATGAGCGGCGTGGTATCGGTTTTTGTTTTTGGTTAGGAAACGCCGAAGAATGTAGCTTGTCAATTCTCATTGTTTTTATTTAGATTTATACAATTATAAGGCATATTATATCATTACATTACGTGGCCGATGTCGGGGCATACATGAAACATATACGTAAATTCGTACCCATATTTCTAATTCTTTATTTCAACAGCCATTGACAAAATTTCGCCAAACCTTATTTCCAAACCAAACTTATTTAGTCTTTGCTTTCGTGTTGGAATAATATAAATAACGTTTTTCACCATTCTTGTTTTCAATTTATTCTGCAAAACTGTGAAATGTGTTGCAGATTTAGAGAGATGTTTGCTGGCATTTCTTCAAAATGGGACCTCAGCTTAAGATAAATAGCCAAAGGGTGACCAATCCAGATCCGGCGGCTCTTGGCATTATTGTTGAAAAACCAAAATTCCCTGACTATGCTGATAAATCTAAACGTTTGGAATCATATGCCACCTGGCCAGACGACAAACCAATTGACAAACATGATCTCGCCGAAGCAGGCCTGGTCTACACGGGTACTATTTATAAATGAATTATTTATTAACCTTCAAAAAAGTAGTTGTAAAAAAAACTTGTAGTATGTTCAGCTTAAGTGTTAATATATCGAATTGTAAATACACTAGTTAAATAAAAATATAAAGAGGCAACATTATTTTGAAAACTAGTACATAAGAAATTATCTAAAGCTAAATAAAACACGTACATAAGACAATATATATGTTAACATGTGTTATCTTAAAGCTTTTTATTTTGGACTTATTTTCAGGAGAAGGCGATAACGTGAGATGCTTTTTTTGCGGTGGTGGTTTGAGAAACTGGGAACACGGTGACAATCCAATGGAAGAACATGCCAGATGGTTTCCAAAATGCGCTCACATACTTCTTGTGAAGGGACAACAATACGTTGATAAGATCAATCATGGTGATGTTAAAAGTAATGAGGTATCTTTAAACATTATTCTTTATCTTAAATGTTCATTTCATTATTATCATTATACTTTTGACTCTACTTTACTAGCTTTTACTTTCGCCACCGGAATAACACTAACAATATTGGCTAACGACAATGAACTGAATGAATGTGCACTCTTTATTCATCAATGTCAACAGCAAGAATGAATGAATGAACGGACGGACGAACGAACGAGCGAGCGAGTGAATGATAATTTTGCTTTCACAAAGGAACGTAAAATAACTAAGGACCTTCTTTTATTTTGAGAACTAAACAAATGTTATGATTAAATCATAAAATGTATTACCTTTAACCAAATGATAGGGACATGTGATATAATAGTATTAGAACTTTGTAGAAAGGTAATTTATTTGATACAAAGTGTGATATGCTTTGCTAATTTATAAAAAAGGAATCGACTGGCGCATGTGGCGGTTTTGATAGGCAAGCAGAACAGGACTGTGTAGATATGGGGTTTTCTAGAGAAGTGATAGAAAGAGCGAAAGTAATTTTTAAGGAGAAACACGGTATTTCTTAGTTACTAATAGAATAATTCTCATTATACGCAAAGCATTAATTTCCGAATAACATTTTGACTGCAACTATTTTACACTGTTTTAGATCCTATAACCAGATTTGTTAAAATCGATGCAGGATATTTTTAACGGTCAGATTTGAAAGTAATAAGATTTTACTGCTTAGTTTCTTCCTATGTAAGTTGACACAAAAAAACTGATTTCAAAACAATGTTTTTATGTCGCATAAATGTAATAAATGGTGTAATGTTCAAACCACTTCTCTTCATAATAATACCGCTTCCAATATGTCTGAAACAATATATTACTACTGTATTTAAATTAATTGATAAAGGTAACGTAGCCTTCAATACAAACCAGTTATGTGAGATTTTGTGTGAACTCGGATAGTTCTGACAAGGACGAATCTCCAGATGATCAAAGGTCTGGTTCTGAAGACGACAAAGGTTTGTTTGGCTTTTACTTAAATGTCTTTTATATTTTATTTACGATATGGCAAACACTTTACATTTCTTGATATATATCATTTTTGTTTACTATTTTTTGTTGGCACAAAATCATTAATTGTAGTATAGTATGTGTGTTGAACATTGTCTTCGTGAGTACTGAACATTATATACTAAATAATACGGAGGTAGTTTTAACACATAATACCTGGGTTCCCATATTTACTCGATTATGTCAAGTATTTTTGTTGACACATTCAAGTCCTAGTAGACTACAACGATCAAGTACGTATATGCGACATTTGTGACAGTAAATTGAGGACATATAATCGGGTTTTCTTTCGAGTTTCTTAAATATTGTAAACGGATTTAATAAGTCACTAACCTGATTATCTGTCTGTATATACATCCATTTCACGAAATATCGGCCGGAAAAGAGCCGACGCATGTTTGTAATATATAGAACAAAGGCTGGGTAAGAAGTATTTGTTGGGATAAAAGTTCGTGGGATCTTAAATTCATGGATGGACCTACCCACGAAAACTACGAAAATTCGTGCCCCACGAATAATAATGATTTTACAGTAGCTACAATGGTTTAAATTGCGGCGGTAGTTTTAACATGTAATCGTTACAATGGTTCAAATTACGGCGGTAGTTTTAACACATAATCGTTACAATGGTTCAAATTTTCAGTCTTTAGGGACCTAAACTTTTAATTCTGTTACAGATATGTCAGAAGAGTTGGTACGACTTCAAGCTGAAAATAGTCAACTCAAAGAAATCATGATGTGTAAAATCTGCATGGATGGAAAGGCTGATTTAATATTCTTACCTTGTGGTCACATGGTTTCATGTGCTCAGTGTGCACCTGTTCTTTCTGAGTGCCCAATGTGCAGACAAACTATTAAGGGAACCATCAAAACATTTTTTGTTAATCATTAGCGTTATTTTTTCTTTAAGGAAAATAAGCTGTTTAAGCCTGCTTTTATTTATAGTGAAAATATTACCAACATAGATGATATTTCCAAGCTGATTGTTGGAAAAAGTGACACATTACAATTAAGTTCAGTGTTGGGACAAATATTTGTTCTTTAACTAGGTTAAAGGGTTTTCTTTTCCATCTTTTGCTGCTATAAACATTTGGACAATGGTACATGCTAATGAAATCCATTGCCATTCTTATACTACATTCTAGTCTGATATAAAAAATAGTTTAAACATTATATAGATAAAACAAAAATGTTCTTAAAACGAATCGGACAGGATTAATAAAGACAGAAAGGATATAAGAGAATAAAGAGAAAAGACTTCATCTTAGAACAGGATTGGTCTAATTTGGCCCAATGACTTTCTGAAAAATATGTTGTCTTTATCTATTCATTAAATTCTATTATTTTGAGATTAAATATATAAATGTGTCAAGTTGATATTATGATGATTATTATTATGATGAAGTTATTTTTTTTTAATAAAATGTCAAAGTTGACGTTTGTGCTTTTAACAAAATGCCAGTGATGTGCCAAAATAGACCACTTACCTTTTGCTAAAGCTTAAATTAGTCAGAAACGGTTCGGAAGGATCCTAAACATTTACTAAAAAAAAAACGTTTTCCATGTACAAGAGATGAATACGTGTTTAGTTTTTTTATCAGGACCGTAAAGAAATGCAAAATAAGTACAAGTGCACAAAATAGTAAACAGACCCATGCACCAAAAGCATAAGCTACAATAATGCTGGATAACTCATACTTTCTAGTGCTTTTATATATATATAAACCTTATTAACGCTTGCGAAACCACACAGTGCTACCGACGCCAGTGATGACAGATTGCTGCAATAATGACATAAATCTGACTGATCACTGCAGGGAGGTTCTTACTCTTGATGGTACATTGATATTATGCAAATGATGTAAGGTCGAAATGTATTTTCAAGGCTGTCGATATTGGCAGAAACGCTCTGAAACTAAATGTAACATTCTGACAGAAAATGGAGATCTCTTTTCATTCCTTTTTTTGCGGCGAGCCGCATTAGTTAGATACTGAGATTCTGGAGGGTCAGACGATTTTAAGAAAAATAATCAAATTACATAATAATAATAATAATAATAATAATAATAATAATAATAATAATAAATAATAATAATAATAATAATAATAATAATAATAATGATAATAATAATAATGATTATAATAATGATAATAATAATGATAATTATAATAATGATAATAATAATAATAATAATAATAATAATAATAATAATAACAACAACAACAACAACAACAACAACAACAACAACAACAACAACAATAATAATAATGATAATAATAATAATAATAATAATAATGATGATGATGATAATAATATAAATCACAAAACAGTTCATAAAATTTTATATCTTTATTCCAAGCATTTTGTTGACATGATTCATCGGTATATCAAATCACATTATAAAATAGACTTGTAGGTTATGCACTAGAAAATACAGAAACATCAATGACGATATGGCTCAAACAACACCAAAAAAGTATGTATTGCATTAAGCATTTACCAACAATTATTTGATTTTTTCATAATACGAGCAAACAGAGGTCTTTATTTTAACATATTTGCTGGTAGACAAAAACAATTGTTACGTAATATTTGAATTTAACAAAGAAAATAGAAAAATACAGATTCCTTAAATTAAGCCCAACACGGCAAAATTGAAAATGTTGCAGGTTCGGTTTGATGGACGGCACTGGAAAATGCAAGTTACCGTCCACGCCCCCTAGCAACGGCTTAAGCGGAATTCAACATTTAAACATGAAATGGTAAAGTTTTGAATTTAGAAACATCTGCATATGTGTTCATACGGCGGTTATCATGGAACCTTAAATGTGACACTTCCATGCCATTCCATGAAAAGAGGCGTATAATCCCCAAGTAATAAAAAGCGTGATTGTAAAATAATACTATACTGTGACACTTAAGAAAATTCGAAATAAAAATAATATAATATTCAAATACAGTATTTCTTGTTTAATTGACATGTAAACTTATTATAAATTCAACATTCTATTGGAGAAAAGTAAAGTAATAATTTTCTATGTAGAACTAACAGTTGATATTTTAATGTTTCGCTGTTATAGTAACTTACCAGTTTTTAAACAATTTTATTGAATAGAAACTGATATAACTGCCTCTGACGCGACGAGCACGCTGCGAACAATGTCAGAGTAAAAGATATGTTATATGTTCGATATGTTAGTTATGACAAATAAATGTAAAATAATAAATTTATTCATACAGGACTTATAATTTCTGGAGCAGGGAAGACTGCTTATCCTCAGGATTATTTTTTTTTTGAATAATGGAGTTTTTCCAAAAATTGAATTTAAATCAACATTTTACTCGAAATTCCATTCGGCGAAAGAACTGTGTTAATTTTCCTAAAAATTTAAGGGTAACATTACTTCTTCTACTTCTGAAAAAAGTCCCTTAACATAGTTAGCCAGCAATATATCTAATGTTAAAACAAGCATGCAATTGTCCACCTTATAAACACAATAATCGTAATCCATATTAAATGCATCTTCACAACTAGAATATATAATTGTAGTTCAACACTCGATCTTTTGTCAGAGAATGTCAACCAATTAAATAAAGTAACACAGCAAAATATACATATTTACAATTAAACTATAATTGTAGTATTTTACTCTTCGCCTATTTAAAACAGAACAGTCTTGCTATGATGGAATGGCAACCACCTTCTCTCCTGTAAGAAGATACGAACAAATTAATTTTATGGTTCTGAAAGAAAAGCTGAACACCTGAGCATTTAACAGTTCAACGTAGTAAGAACACAAAAATATCGTATACAAGACGCGTTTTGCAGGAAAACAAAATAAAACTATACCAGAGAAATTAAGTTTGATTATAAAAAATAACTGCCAAGATGAGTTATGTTCTCCTTATACAGAGCAAATATACTCAATGGGCCTAAAATGATTAACGATTTACTAAAAGATAAATTAAAGGCCAAACCTCATCTGATTACTAACGAAGGTAATCGCTAATGAATATGCAGGTTTATACTCTACCCCATCAATTTAAAAGCCCACAGAACATTAGATAAACTTTGTTATAGTCTAAGGAATGTTAAGACATATATGACTACTTCGCATTACCTTGTCGTCAAATTATGTATAATAAGCGGTTTATGATCCGATGTCCCGTACCGGAATAATGAAGAAATAATAGCATTATTTTAACTAGGTTGGTTTTTACTAGTTGATTTCGGTAATGAAAAGTTGATTTCGGTAACTTTACCGAAATCAAGTTGATTTCGGTATCGTAACGTACCCGGGTACAAGTGACCATCTGGATTAAAATCATTGATACTTACCTGTTTCCGGGCATTTTACATAGTATAAATAGTATATAACTAATCTACCAAAGTGCAAATAGTTCTTAATTGAATTTTTTTCAAAAAAAGAAAAAAAGAAATTATTCGACTAGACAAAGGAACAAAAAAAAGAAAAAAAAGTTAGCCGCAGATAGGATTGATTCTACTTCATATATCCTTATAACGACACTTTTGCAAGCATTTTCATAGAGACCCCCACTTGAAACCATGGAAGCCTTTTCCTTCACCGTCACAAGAGTAAGATCTGTCACTATCGTCTACTCCTATTTTATAAGTAAAATGTAGGTAAACGGGGATGCTGATGTAGGGTAAGTGTTAGTAGGTAGGTTAGGGTTACATTAATTTTATTGTACTAAATGATTCATGTATGAAAAGAAATCATGTAACTTGTCAATACAATTCTCATTAGAGAATATGGCGACAGTAGAGATTACAACAGTAAAAAATATTGAACCAAGACACTGGAAATTTCAAATATTTTTCTATAATATTGAAAAATGCAAAATGTAAGCTGACTTGTTTAAAAGACGGAGAAATAATGTCGCTGATAGGACGTCATTCATCCATTTCTCTAAAAATGACATTTCCAGCAATACTAAGCAATCAAGTATGATATCGTATGTAAGATAACTTAAAACACATTATTTATTCTACGGTAATAGAAAACATTAAATAAAAGCATTGTGTTTCAATTATTGTTTCAACAATGAAATTTCGATAACAATTCTTCTTTACGAGTATGAATGTGATTTCTTGAATCTAAGCAAAAGTAAGACCTACCTTGTGTAAACTGTTCTACTTCTTCTTCAAGATCCATCAAAAGTTCACATAAATGTGACGCTTTAAAGTCACTGTTACCTGGTAAATCATAAATAAGTAACATTCGATGACTTTTTTTACTTTCTATGTTAGAGAACTAATAGAAAACCTTTATTCAATCATATATTTCGTAATATAAACCTTCACCTTTTTTGTAATGTTAATTTCCCATAGGCTTCTGGAAGTTACTCTTACTGTTAATGTAAGTGTTCGTCGTGACTAAGAGCTTTGTTCTGTTACACACGTAACAGTAATTTTTAACAGTTTAAAATCTGGTCACGTGGTCTATCTTCTAAATAAGATGAAATAAAATGGCCACCATTTTTTTCCAGATTCATTCTTATTTTCAACCTTCTCTACGATAAGACATCACCAGAGTAACTATGACACCGATAAAATTTAGTTGTTTGCACTTTCGCGTATAAAAAAATCTTTTGTTGAATAGTCAAAAAGTAAACATCCGGTTTCAACGGATGTACTTGCAATGTGAATAATTATGTGTCAAACTGGAATATGCAGACGATTAAAGCATGCGACAAAAATTATTTACCAATTTTAATCAGTGAAACGTTACTGATATTGTGGGCAGACATAGGTTATCATCATTATTTTGTCTAAAACCATACGAAGAATATTCTGGATACAGAAGGATCAGATTTCACTTATCATAACCATATAAATGGGTTAGTGTTTTGTTTTCTAAATAAAACACAGCTTATCGTATGTGTATGACTAGTAGATATCATCAGTTGCTTAAAGAATAAAAAAAAAAGAAATCTTCTCAAGTAGGCCTAAAGTACACTTAAAACTTAAAAGGTAAGGACACTTTAGTTATTGTTACTCTTGATTTATTTTTGTAACAGTTAATTTTAGTTGACAATTTCAGATCATCACAGTAGTTTTGTTCGGGGTAATAAAATAAATAACACACACATCGGTTTGTGAGTAACATTAAAATATCATCCCTCGTTAAAATACTGTTACCCTTGGCTACGCTTCGGGTAACAGTATTTTCCTCGGGATGATATATTTTAGTAATAGAAAGAGCACCAAAACACGAGGCTATCTGATTTGTACGAGAGGGCGTAGCCCTCAAGTATAGATCAGATTGCCGAGTGTTTTGGTGTTCTTTCTCTTTTGTATCATAGTCAAACATAAAAACAAGTTCCCTGTTGTCAAAATTTTAAACCCCGGGAAAATGTTACCAATGAACGAGCATCTGAATATGATATTTCTCCCGCTTTCCCTTTCTCTGCCGTCACAATATGTAAACCCCAGCAAAAATGAGCCAATCAACGGGCATGTTCTGGATGGCGGGTAACTGATACCTGCACTCCAGTTACCGCACTGTGCATGTATATGTATACGATTTAACTCTGACACTTTTTCAACAGAAAGATCCCCAAACTACCGGTATGATACAACTGTTACTTACAAACCCATGTGTTATTTATATATTAATAAATCCTACGTATCTCGAGAATGAACTTAAACATTAATTAACAATTCAATGTAATTTATTAACTGAAAATAAAACAAGATAAATATCTATAGTTTTACGTTACATTTAGTTTTACTTTTAAAGTTATTTAAGAGTCGATGTCGAGCATTTGAATTTTTATAACTCAATAGATAATAACGAAACAAATGGATAAACCGTTTAATAATCCTTGTATCATAGTTTGGAGACCTTTCTGTTGAAAATGTGTCAGGGTTAAATCGTATACATATACATGCACAGTGCGTTAACTGGAGTGCGGGTATTAGTTACCCGCACTCCAGAACATGCCCATTAATTGGCTCATTTTTGCTGGGGTTTACATATTTTGACGCAGAGAAAGGGAAAGCGACAGAAATATCATATTCAGATGTTCGTTCATTGGTTCATTTTTGCCGGGGTTTCATATTGTGACAACAGGGAACGTGTTTTTATGTTTGACTATGATACAAAAGAGAAAGAACACCAAAACACTCGGTAATCTGATTAATACCCGGGGGCTACGCCACCTCGTACAAATCAGATGGCCTCGTGTTTCGGTGCTCTTTCTATTACTTATCAAAGCATATCCTGAGTTCTACAATATGTGACATTTACTAACATTTATTTCATATCTCACTGAATACAATGTCAAAGACATACCATGTCTATCAATAAAAATATCAATTGCTTTCTGAACCATTTCTTTAGAGTAACCAAATCCAATACAATAACGTGCGGCAACAGATTCAAGATGGTTTGGGGCAGTACAAGCTGAGTTAGTCTGGAAAGGGAAAAATGAAATACTACGTTCAATTGTTTTCGAAGTCAAATATAATGATATAATTGAACATTTGCAATTGTTAATGACAAGTGTTAATTTTAAGATTTAATATTTCAAAGATTCTTATTCTTATTTAAATGAAAACATGCAGTCATTTAAACAAAGGTATTTGTGAGTAATAGCAACATTTTTTATCTGTATATCCGGAATAGATCCGTACCTCGAAGAATATTCAGCTTGAATAGTATTATTCAAAGTCATTTTATAATATTCATATCGATTATTTCAAACTCAGTTAAATATCACTGCTTTATTAGTATCTTTATCAAAATGCATTTTGCAATCTACATGCCATTACTTTGCCTGGAGTCCTAAGCTTAATTTTTAAGTCTCTAAATCATATGCATGTTCATATGTTTTCAAATTTGGTTAACATGTTTTGAAACCTGCAACATTTGACATCAAATAGTTCTGCAGTTATTTCCCGTTAAAGATCATCATACATATAATATTCAGTTTGCAGATTATTGCCATCATTTATCTCATTCTATGAAATATGATAAATTGAATACACTGACTATTTTGTGCTATTAATATAACTTTCCTCCAATTTTTGACAAAGAGTTTGTCATTCGCAACGTTACAATTTACAAATGACAAATTTTATATACCTGTGCTTGCGACGGTTTCTCTGGTTTTTCTCCACGCCGAAGTCTCTCAATATATGCCGGACCCTTAACTGAATTGATGTATGGACACTTTGGATACCATTTCACATGTTCCTCCATTGGTACATCATCCTGCTCCCAATCCCACAGCCAACCACCACAGAAGTAACATTTTACACTATCACCAACTCCTAAATTGATAATTTTAGGATTATCAGAAATCAGTTTTCGTCATACTTGATTATATATAAACATGAGTATCAATAACCCATGAGCGCATCAAATCAGTATTTTTATTTTAACCTTTTTTTTGTTTCAAATACAAATTACCAAAGTAAATTTAAGATATGACTAATCAAAATGAATTTTCTATTGCATTTACTTATCTAATGTAAACTTTCATTCCTCAATATATTCCAATAAATTCATAAACTCATTATGTAAAATAGTCAAACATTACTATGTCCTTACAATACAAAATAGATTCGTATCTGTGCGATTTCTTCAGACACTGAATAAATATTTTCATACGTAACTAACAACGTATTGTGGGCAATCTTATAGTATTTTGATTTTCATCACTCGTGCAAAAGAGTCAAGCAACAAGTTTTGCAAAATTGATTTTTTTATTTACCTGTGTACACAAATCCTGCTTCGACAAGATCATCCTTCTTTACCGGAATGTATTCTGGCCAAGACTCAAAAGATTCCATTCTCTTCGAGTAGACTGCATATTGCGGAAACTTCGGCTTTTCCACGTTAATTCCAATAGCTATTGATGGCGGTCTTGCAGATTTCTGCTGAGAAATGACGACATCGCTGCTACTTTCCGACATGACGGATATAGTATGAAGAGTAGAATCTGAAATACAATATTAATAATTCAAAGCCAGCAAACACTGATTTATCAATTTTTCAATATTTCATCAATTAAAGTAAAAGTGGATTTCATTTGAAAGAAATAGATATCTAAAAACCTAACTATATCTTCAGGCATCATTTCACTTTTTGGGGGTTCCCCCTACTTTCAGACACCGAAAAAAACAACAGAGGTCACTATTGATGAGGCTATATAATAAATATCATTGTTTCTGGAGGCCATTAAAATATTATGTGCGTACAATTGATTGTTCTAAGAGAAGTTTAGTAATGAATATTCATCTCATGTCTAGGTGATGGTACCTGGAAAACCTTGTATTCGAAATTTCTCTAAATCTCGCACACTCGCATTATAATTATTTCCCACATTACGTGTACATACATAACATTTTTTTTAAGGTGTTTGTTGTATAATTGACATTTCATTTTCAGAATTTATCTTTATCTTTATTGCAACCATCTTTTAAAAGATAAGAAAGTGAAACTTGAGTATCAATCACATGCAACAACAACAACAACAACAACAGCAACAAATGTTTTCATCGATGACAGAATATTTTGACTTATTTCATATTTATTTTTAGTTTCGAAATGGAAAGAAAAACACAACATTGAAATTATCACAAACGCAACCAAAGAAAATAATAAATGATTTCAAATGATGTTTGTTTTGTTGAAATAAAAAAGAGGGTGGGTTCATAAAAATTGTCATATTTCGTTATTTATCAATTGAGCATCGTTATATATTCAGTAATAATGATCTAAAACATTTGTGCAACGATATAAAGGAGTTTGCAATTGACCCTCGGATTAGGACGTTTAAAAGAGACCCCACCTCAAAGCATGAATGCGTTATTTAGAATTTATTTCGCTATGTGTGCATAAAACACGCGATTTCAGGAAAATACATTGTGAACAGTGACAATTGGAACATCTCGGCTATTACAGCTAATAACATCGGACATAATACGGACTGAACATGGTTTTAGTTGTAAACAAAATCAGAGGGTATAATCTTTGACAATCTATTACGAATGTATATTGTTGGCATACGAAAATAAAGTCTATTTTGGTAAAATTATGATGAACATATGTCTAACAATCATAATCAATTAAAAATGCTCAATGATGTACAATTAGATGTACAACCAAATCAGGTATACAAATTCGTACTTTCGGTTTCAAATAATGTACTGTTGACTTGTTACTTTATTATTCGGACTATAACTCACTGTATTCATCTCCTGGCATTAAAATGCTATTTTTTACATGTTTAGTTTATGTTTGAGGTTCTTATCAAAAGGCCGAGATGATTGATTGGCTTAGCGAGTTTTGGTAAAATGGACGCTAGGAAGTAGTGATAAAGTATATGTGTTATATAAAAGCATAATTTTGTTTCTGTTCCGTACCTTGAATATTAATAAAAAACTTTTCGAAATGTATACCAGGAACAATTACGTGATAACCACCGACCTTTTCCCCCATTTTTGTCGAATTCGCATAAATACACTTGTTTTAAAATATATGTATCATGTACAGAATTTATCATTGACCCCAATTATGTGACACGCTGTATTATGCCATATATAATATGTTTCGATGTTTTGGCCACATATAAAATTTGGAATTTTCAGAATCCAAAAGGTGCCGTATTCGCTATAATTTAATTACGCTATGGTCGTTGAAAGGATATTACTCTTCGTCCTAAGGGGACAGGGGACCTAAAAATGAACAATTTTGTATTTCAGTGTGACCAGAAACACAATTCAAAATATTTCAAAATCTGGTTCACAGGCAGATAACCAGTTGCAAAGCATTATTCAATGATATATGACAAACATTGAAGAAAATAATAGTTTGCATGCATTGCTCCTTTAAAAAATGACTGACAGCAATTTATATTTACCTCCACCAGCCAAAATCACACCTAAAATATACCAATATGGACAATCTTCATGAAGCTGCAGCATACTCCAGAATTCACCCGATTCTTTTAAAAAGATCAGTAACACGCAGTGCAAGCTATGGCATTTTCAGAAATGACCAATAAAGTGTCTGTCTTACGTTTAGATTTTTCACAAAATTTATCTGAAATTTCTTACTTGTTTGGCACCAACTGTCAAAGCTTGATTTTTAACTTTTTCACCTCCATTCGGAGAGTCAGAAATACATGCAAAGCTACCAAAATGCTTAGTTTCGGGTAAAAACCCAAAAATACTTCTCATTTCCTATACACAAACAAGAAAGAATTACAATGACAAAGAAACATGAGAAGATATCAGTACCTTCAAAACACCATGTCTGAGTTATTAAAAAAATTGACGGGCCATCATTCGAAAATGTCCCCTGCCCCATTAATGAAAATAATGAATACTCTTCAGAATGAAGGTTTCTTACCTACGGTTTCTGATACGCTATAAATACTAATCGAAGAAATTCATCATAAGAAACAAATTACATCAAGAGCGTAAAAATACGACTTACTAGCTTGTAACCCTATAAGATAATAATGATTATTAAATACCGGTAAACCAAGATTATCAATACAGACAGATAATAGAATCCCATTATCATTTTCGTATTCATTACGACACATTTAATATACAATAAATAAACTCACGTAATGTATAGATGGAAACCAAAATCACATACAAAGTGGGAAACCATATCAGACACATCTGTAAACAAACGGTATGTTACAATATAGAACAAGAAAAGCATTGATGCAAATCATCAAAGGGCGTCCAAGCAAGAAATGCAGCAGGTGAAGATGAACAAGTAAATATATGAAGACAAGATATTCTTATAAACTTTTCAATGGTATACTGGTTTCTACCAGAATTGTATATCACTAATGAATGAACGAGCGAAATACGTTGTTCATTATTAACTTTGATTGGCATGCTAAAGATTAGAATAGTACTTGTTATTTCTTTATGATCGTGGTTATTAATAGCAACGGATATACATGTATACAATAATTTATAATTCATATGTGTAACGCATTTGTGTAATTGTCCCGCTTTTAGCGAAGACCCCCTCTTATGAAATCTGTTCACACTTAGTTACAATATGACTCTGGTTATATTAACATGTTGATCAAGTGGAGCATAATTGTTTATTATACAATAATTGTAATATCTATTTTAATAAAAAATAAAGATACATGTATTTATGAATATTGTTTTCTTTTCTTTTTAGTGTTTTATGTGCTATTTTATTACTGAGTTTTTACGTTTATTACTATTCTAAGAATTCAATTGTCATATTGACCGACGATTATAAGTCAACTTTTGTATTTTTCTTTATTATTTTTAAATTATGAATCGATTGAATACTTCATAAAATCTAATTTGTAACTTTGAATTATTCCTCGGCATCTTTACTTAACACAAGTAACAAATTAAATAAAATGTTTCAAAGTTGACAGTGTCATATTAATACCATATAATGTACATTTTTCTCAATTATTTTACATATTTATTGTTTTTATCTCATATAAATAAAATAAAACATGCTGTTGTTGTTGTTGGTTTTTTTTCGAATTGTATGCTTCTGTATAATAATAATCAATTAATTTTAGAGTTGATCTGTGTTTATTAATTATTGTAACCAAACTAAGTGATAAACATTCATTTTGAAAAAAGCTTATTTGTCTGTAAAATATTTGTTATGGTCTGTAACGATATCAAACATCTACTCCAAAACCGGGTCAGACCGGACAATAAACGTGTGGTACTATTCGCTGGTCACTAGAAAATCCCGGTCGAAATAGACCAGGAGACACCGGGAATTACCGATAGGAGTACATCCCTCTATAAATAGATTATATTTTCCATCAACTCATAATTCTATTTACAGCTTTCGGATACATGTACAACAACAACATACCATAATTACCCACTGTGTACTTCAAAATGATAAAAAATACCCAGAAGAGCGCGATGTATTGACGGAAAAGGTTATTTTATTTGAAAATGTTTGCATTGCGAAATTCTCCAGTTCGCTATTCATTGTACATATCGCGACATTTCATTTTTAATTCATAATCAAGCACCCTCATACCGATCGGAATGATCGACTTTTATTATGGCCGACTGAAAGGCTCTAGAAGTTGCTGTCGCCCTTTCACAAAATCTGATTTCATTCCATAAGAGGCGCCGCGCTTCGGCGCGGACGCCAACAAAAAAGTTATTCTGTATGACCTGGTTCAATATATACATTTCTTTTTCATCGTATTTCAAGGTGTAAATGTTTTAGGTAATACATTTTCATTATTGTGTAAAATCCTTTATGTACAAATGTTAGCATTGCTTTATGGGAATCAATGCTGTACAATCAATTGTACTTAAAATGGACTTAAAATTCGACTTTGAGGCACGGTCTCTCTGTTTGTTATCGTTGATTAGGGAATATTTCGGTACTTTTGTTGTAGAAAGGTTAATATTATTGTCATAAATTTGTTCCAAGGAACAGTGACCATTGCAGCTGTAGTACGGAATACATTTTCAGTTGATGAGGTCCAGTAAAAACAACTCTCTGCCCCAATAAAACATTATGCGTTTAAAGAGTCTGCTAGACAGGACATTCTCGGGCGAACGGCTAAGATCGTTGACTTCAAATTATTTGTTACTATACGGACTTTTGATTGTTTCATGTAATGACGTCTAGGATGCCCGTTCGTGCCTGAAATAATGGACGATTGTACACATAAAATCTTTTAACACCAGGAAAGCTGAAAAATTGCCATATGGCCATAACAATATTGGTTAAACTGAACACAATAAAAGCAGCCTGAAAATATCTTTGAGCATAATGATTTTATATACCATATTCTTATCTGAACGCTGAATAAGCAGGTGCTTTAATGGACATTCGCGGTAGTTTGTTCGAAACCCTGACTGTCATAACAGGCTCAATGAACCCACATATAAACATGTTCATTTTCCCGTGTTTGTTGTATTTTGATGTCAATGTTCTTTTGGATATACATTTGAAGTTAAGATCTCATTAGATATGATATCAGAGTCAAACAGTTCATACAGTTATGCGCCACATTTGTAGATGCATACTATGATATAAATCAGATTTGCAAGCTGTCAGGATTCATGTTGCCGCAACGGCGTTAAAATAATACCACTCATCATCTTTAAGGTAAAAAATGAATGGATGTCCTTCCACAAAATTAAAACCAATTGAACAGTAAGGATTTACTTTTGTTGCTTGACCCTGTTCCTGTGTCGATATACATGTAACATCGGTGAAAATAAAAGAAATTCGACGTGCCTTTGAAAACTCATTGTTTCTTCTTTTGAATTCGGTAAAATAA